TACAGCTCTTTTTTTTCTATATTACTTCCATGCACGCATTCCATCTCGTGCTGTCCTACATAGCATGAAGTTGATTTAATTTATTTGTTTTTTTAAACATAACTCAGACGGGGTTAAGGGTAGTTATGATATTATAACAGGCTGAGGGCGGCCCTGCTAGCAATTTTTTGTAACTAACCATGTCCGGAGCTCACAGATGAAAGCTAATTTTACACACTGAATTTTGTTGGAAAAATCACCTGTAATAATATCATATGCCAACAAGAATCTATTTGATTATACAGTGAAGAAAATAATTTCCTCATTAACACTGGCCGGACACACATTGTCCGGGCCTTCCAGAGACAGTAGATGTGGTTGGTGGTAGAAGTTGGCGAGAAAGGTGGCCTGGCTACCCTCACTCGCCGTCCAGGGGTCAGAGAGTGTACTGAGGGAAATCTGAGACAAAGCACCGTCAAACAGTGTACACAAAGACAAGTATGAGGGAGCGGGTGCTGGAGGGACTTTGGTTTGGTTCTTGTAAATTCATACCCATCATATGTTTGCAATTAAGGCCTGTCTGTACTGTGTGTTTACAGAGTGGTGCAATCAATGTAATTGTGAGAGGGTGTTCCTGACTGAAATGTCTGTCTTATTTCTCTCTGGCTGGGTTCAAGTGGGCACTTGCTGGATTTGTTTCCCAGTGTTTCTCATTTCCAAATGTAAATGCATCTCTTGATTTGTATCGGCCTCTGTATACACTCCCTTTTTTATCGTTCTCATTTTTCCTGGATCAAATACAAACAACAAGGGCTCCATTTCAGAGTGAGACGTCAGCCCAGATCTATGTCAGCAGCATTGTTCATTTACAGAGAAAATCTGTTCATATCCAGGGCAATGTAAAGAGCCATAGAGCACACAAATAAAACTGATGGTTTCCCGTGCCGTCGGAGCACGTCGCCAATGTTTCCCTCAGACTCGTGTTTTGCTAGTTTAACAAAAAAACTCTCTAAACACTCTGCTGCACCTGAAGATCTGGACATTGTTAGTGCGTCTTTTTGATCTCATTCGTGCTCTGCAAGAGGGATTATTTTTCTTAATTGGAGGTGTACACATGCTTAGAGGCCACATTCCATACTATTGATACTGTCAATGTGTTAGCCATTCAACAACAATTACTTCCTTTATGGGACATGGGAAACATAGTATTGCTTACTTCTGAACTAAACTAACCCTTTGACTGCACAACAGAGACAAAGACTGTTTTCTTCACTAAAGACAAACTGAGGACAAATTCCCTGAAATAGAAAATGCAAAACACACATCTATAAAGGAGAAAATAGTAATTGAAACCCCCCAAAAATGATGTTTCTAATAAAGAGCACAATGATTTTATTTTCAGCTCACCTAAGTCTGATACATAAATGCACTTCCTCAATGAAGTCAGTACACTCAAGCAATTGGAGTGCAGTGGGATAACTGAAGGCCACTATAGCAGTGTTGATGGCTGCTGTTGTTTCATATCAAGCACCTTTGCAGGTTTGAAAGCTCAAGACTAGAATATTCCTTCCTGTCCCCTGATTAGTTTCAAGATTTCTACACAGCTTTGGAAGTGTACAGAAAATCCGTTTCATCATCTCCATGTTTGGAAGAACTAGACAGAAACAAGATAATGAGTCCACTGACATGCTAGTGACTCTGTGAGCCTGTACTTAGATACAGCGATGCTTTGAGCCAAATGCTAACATAAGGATGCTAACATGCTAATGGTAAGCAGGTATAATGTTTACCATGTTCACCCTCTTAGTTTTGCTTATTAGCATCCTAACATGGTATGGTTAGCACTAAACACAAAGTACAGTAGACTGAAGGGAGTGGAATTAGTTTTGGAGGTCAGTAATCAAAATAATAGACAAATAAAAAATTTGACCGGATGGTGACGGTACTTTCAATGAAAAGTTAACAGAGGGCCAGACTTATTACAGTTCATCCTGTGTTAATGTCTATGCTTCATTTCATGACAATCCATCCAATAGATGTCCAGACATTTCACTCAAAACCACAAATGTCAACATCATGGTTGAGCCAGAGGAAAAGTCAGCAAAGTCATTAGGGATCATGGGGACGATGGGAATCCATCTGATGTCATTCTGACCAACAATCCTATCCTTAGAGCCATGCTGCTAGCGTGGCTACATGTTGCTAGGTCCCAGTATGCATGACTTTAAATGTTGTGATATTTGAGATTACATAAACAGCCATGTACTGCTGTAGAATGTAATATCAATGACCACCTTTAAGCACAGTAAAATCCATAATGCCATTTTTTTAAATTTAGACTTCTTTGGTGCTCATCGCTGCTGTTTTTCTGCACTGAACTTCCCAGATAGTTTGAGTAAACCAGTTTTAAATCTCTTCCCTTGTTGACATTTTGTCAATGCAGTTTTAATTTTTATAAGTGGTGCGTATGCTCAGCCACTGGAAATACTGCTGTTCACGATAGCAACCTGGGTGATCTGATTATTCCAAGCGCAGCGCTGCCACTGCTGTTGGAAACAAACTGGAAATAGGTTGAATTTTTGTCATGTTATTTTTGTAGACAATATCAAGCCTTGAAAAACATTTAGAAATGTAAAAAGTTTGCCGTTCCGGTGTGAAGTCATCCATCTCACCTTTTGACCTCTCCCTTGTCTCCAGGTTTCAGGCAGCACGGCGGGCTCACTGGCCAGCTCCTCCACCCCGTCCACCTCATTACGCCAGTACACGCGGCAACGCATCACTCGTGTCAACCTCAGGGACTTAATTTTCTACATGGAGCAGGAGAGAGAGACCACCCACTCCCTCCTCCTTTACCGTGCCCTGCTCAAGTAGCTTCTGCTCCGCTCAGCGCCCACCTCAACCTCCTCCTGCGCCTCCTCCTTCCCAGCCACGTGCCTTCAGATCAGGTCTAATGTTTCAGTTCTGTGTCTCCATATGTACTGTAGTGACGTTTGATGTAGCTTTTAATAAGAAGAGAGAGAGAGGGACAGAGAGAGAGAGAGAAAAACAAAAACGTACAAAAACAAAACTGTTGTTCCATGTCTTCTCTGTTTAGATTCACGGTGTGTTGTTAGATCATTCAGTTTAAAGGCCATATCAAATTCTTTGCGTTGAACTTGTTAAGGGAACAAAGTGGTTTTTGTGTCGCAGGACTTGACCCAGAACTTGCTATTTATTTGACGTTGTTGGCAGTAGCTTCAATGAATCACCTCAATGTATGAATTATTTTGGCAAAGAGAATTATGTTCACACCTCGATACAGCCTAGGATATTTTCCACGAGCTATTTGTTGAACATAGTTCAATGAATGTAGTTTAGCTGAACTCAATAAATGAGAGACTTTACTGATTTCTATACCGACATCATTTTGAAACATTAAGATTCCAAATAACAGCATCATGTTCAATTTCTTTACTGTGTGTGTAAATAGTTCTTTTTGAATTATTTTACAGCATGTATATTTTTATCACATGTAAGCTTTGTAAGAAAAGGAATAACCCATGTGTCAATATTATGAAATCTGATGTTTTGTAAAACCATGTGTTTTGAATGAGTCAAAATTAGACTGTTTATTCTGTTCACCTGTAGAGTATTTGTTAAAGGTTCCCATGACCCCAAAGGTCATTAAACAAAACCATGGTTGTACTATGACAGCAGTTTCTGATTGGTCACCCTTGTTGAGTGAGTCATTACTTGGTTTTACCCACAAATAATGTGAACATTGTTTTTTGACTAGATGTTTGTAAGTTGTCTACTATCATGCTCACCACTTCTTCCAAAACTTACTTGGTTGAGAAGGTAAGTTTGGTTCAGAGAGGCCAGTGATGTGGGAGGGGTGGTGACTGGAGAGAGAAACCTTGGATCAAAACAGACATTCCTTTATCTTTTCCTCTCACTGTCCTCTCTGCACACATGATGTTTGAAAAAATTACATTTAAAACTTTTAGCCCCCCCCCATCTACTTTGGTGTTGACTGAATGACAAAAGTATTCCATGAAGCGGTTTAGTGCACAACACTTATACTTGTTTGTATTTTGATCCTAAATGAAATATCACAGCTGTAAAGAAATGTTTAACTGTAGAAGGAAACAGTTGATTCCAGCCTAAAATCAATTTCTATTTTTTGTTTCTGTCTTTGTATTACTGATTGAGAGAGTAATGGGACAAAACGCCTGATTTTTACATGTCGTATTGCATTGTCGCCTTGTAATTATTTTATTTTATTTTTTACAAATCCTTATTGTGTTATGTAATATTGTCCATTATGTTTTTTCTATTTAACTAAATATCTTGGCCTCTATGCAGCTTTTCTTGTCATATTGAAATTTATTTAAATATGGGTGACAATTGTTGTGCATTGTACATTTTGACAGCACTTTTTTTTATATCTATTTTACGTGACAACTGAAAGCTGTCACTGTATTATAGCAAAGAAATGACTCTTTTAAGTAGTAAACAGTATTGCCAACTTCTGTCAAGAGAGACTTATTTTTAACAATTAATATATTTTATTTTTTTCTTTTGTTTATTTGTTTTGATTGGCTTTTATGCTTAACACATTTTCATAAATTTTATCTCCAAAATACCATGTTTTAAAAACAAGCACAACAATATCTATTGTGATGATTTCAGATGATTTTATTAGTGATTTCTATGGTTTTCTGGTTGTTTCACAGGAGGACATTTCTACTACTACTACAGCTTTTTAGCCAAAATATTAGAACAATATAACTGATGTAAACAGTGGAGGAAATAACATTTCAGTGTAAGGATGATTTGTAAATATTGTTTACAAAACTATGTGTTTATTAGAACCACGTTATTTTTGGTAAACTCTTGTACATATCTTGAAAATTTCCTGTTTGTGTGAAAAAACAATACTTATGTATTTGTACCTATTTTGTAAAGGAATAAATAAGCTGTTTACTAAACTGAGGAGACGCTGACTTTGTCCATTTCTTCTTTTGTTTTATTCTTACAGCATACACCTTAAAATGTCTGTAGGTACCATAGGAGTGGTAACAGGAATTAAAACATGTACATTTTACTCTAAAATGACTGAATAATTAGGCAATATGTTTCCCTCTCTTCATTTCTTACTCTTTAAAAGGAAAAATAAGCTGTTACTTTTTGCAAGACAGTTTTACCAAAGTCAACTACTAATTCAGCCTGCTTCATTTCCATTTCTAACATTGCACATGCTAAGTACAAACTGAGTCAAGCGCTGCTGCTCGTCCCCCTAGGTTTCTGCTGCTAATTAAGCAGAAGCATTTTCGAAAAGACCAAACTGTTTAACGCAGTGTAAAATATTGGGGTTTGGGAGCATATTGGTTTTTTCAAGATCCTGGCCTATTCCCCAGTCCCTCTGGAGCTGTAGACTGCTGATCTGAATTCAGCCCTGAAGACGACCTTCCCCCTTTGCAAAAATGATCAAGTCCACATATGCTTGCGTACAGAAGGCTGGGGAGATTTATCAGGTTTCATCGGTTCACTTACAGGACACAGAGATCAAATTACTGAATACAACAACCACATACGTACTTACATGTTTCAAGCTGGCATCACCTGCGATGAACACTTTTATTTATATATTTTTTTGATCACCAATAATACAAGCAAATGTGAGCTGTTGCAACTTAGACATAACTTCTAAAACTAACCTTGTTCTTGCCTTTTTAAGTTTAATGGAACAACATGAGAGCAATGAGACACATCAGATATACAATACATCCTTTTATTATCGCAAATATGCAAGAAAAGTCAAATGGAGACATTGTAAATGAACACATGCCCTTTAATACCACAGTCTAATTGTTTTAAACACTTTAAATAATATACATTTGCACCTTATGATACCCTTTGAAATGTCTTAATCCATATGTACACAATGTAATGCTTTGAATTCTTTTCATTCTTTTTGTGAAGAGGACTAAGAGGTCTCTTAAAAACACGAGGGTCCTGTAAAACCCAGAGTCCTGATAATTCAATATACAATAACTGTACAACTGACCCACCTCAGAGGTGGAGTGAATGCCATGTGAAGTGGCTGAAACACTGACCAGTACTTCATCTGAAAGGGTGGCCTGTGTGAACATGTCTGTGAAGTTTCCAGTCCTGTCGAGTTTGTCTAGCTCTGTAGTTAACCCCTTAAATGCAGTTGAAAGGGGCACCCCAGGTTTGGTTATTGCAGACAGAGAAACCCAAAACTGCAATTTGTGTTCCTTTTTCTCACTTAATGTGTAGAATGATGTTTATGTTTTTATTCATACTGTATGTGCATGACCCCTTAGCTCTTTGTTAAAAGCCCCCTCTGTGATTTCCAAATGCCAGTGAGAGAATCTGCCTTCTCTCCTTTCTCCCTGAAAAAAGTATATCTTGCAGATGTGTGTTTTTTTCTTTTTTTACCCCCGTTTCCTCAACAACTAACCCAGATGAGTTTCCACACACCTCACATCAACTGGATCAGCAGCAGAGTGGAGTCGCCTGGCTGTACAGTATGTTCTGAGTATGCTCACATTTGACTCATCAGTTTGTTTGGTTTGTTGCGGTGTGGTCCAGTGAGCCACAGCATAGGAGGGCGTTTTGAAAACCATGGCATGGGGATGACACAGCAGCAGGGGGTGCAACCCGAGTTTCTACTGGCACCACTGAGCTAAGAGCCTTCGGGGAGGCGGAGGGGGGTGAGCAGTGCTGTGGAGAGCCCAACATGCCGTGGCACATGAAAGGCCTGGTTGACCATTCCCTTTGAGGCGACTGGATGCAAAGGCGCAGGCCACTGGCAGGTCAGAACAAAGATGGGCTTGATTGTGAGAGAGAGCCCCAGGCAGGAGTGCGCTGGACTGGGAGCTACACTTATACCGAGCTCATCTTTATCCACTCATTGGCCTTGTTTAATCAGTGGCCATCCGGAGTGAGCAGATATTAGGACAACATGGTCAAAAGAACTACCACCCATTTTTAATGAATAACTAGTTTATAAAAAACAACTCCAGTTAAACTCAAACAACTGCCAGAGCCCGCAAAGATCAGAATGGGCTTCTTCTTTTTTTTGTCAGTCTTTTGGAATGGAAGAAACAGCATCTGTAAGTTACACACAAATATAAAGCATGAAAACTTGGCCTTTCTTGTTTCTGTCTTTGATCCAGAAATGTTGAGAATAAGACCAAAAGAATGAGAGCAGGACAGAGTAAATGCCGCCCACTCGCCTCTTTGTGAATAACACGCTGATGCTGGGAGTACAGTTCACTTTGGGTTCTGCCATACATACATGTGAAGAACCATTGAAATAATCTTGGCTTAGAAGTGACAATATTGAAACAAACAAAGACATTGTCTCTCAAACTTTGTCTGAAGGTACTGTGAGCTATTCTCAACAAAACTGTCAGGACTGGAGGCCCGGGCGAACAAATGTTAGTGCCCTTCATACAGTTCTGAATAATGTAATAGTGTTTTCTTTCACTACAGTATAAACTGTAAAAAGAGATGATGTCTTTATGTTTGTACAATCAACAAAATAGGCACCTTGTCTCCTTTGGTACCTACAGTATTTGTTCTGTTGTAAGTTCTGCCTGTTTTAAATGTTTTAATGCTCTTGTCTCCTAAAACATGAGAAGACAACCAGCTTGACTTGGCACTGGTCACTGGGTTCAAACAAGTGTTTGGTGGGAACAGGGCAGGACAGCTCCGTAGGAAATGTTTAAGTGCAAAGAAAAATCAAGCATTTAGAGTACGAGACATACTGGTAAACATCAGCTCTCCACGTTGGTCCTCAGGTCTTTAACATTCTAACTCAACAAAACTGCAATACACTTAGAGCTTGTGCAACTTTAACCTGAATTTCAAATTCACGAACTTTCTTTAACTTCTGCTAAATACAAACAAAGGTTTGTGCTTGTGAGAGAGAATCCGATCAGAGACCCGAGATATGTTTTAGAGCTAATAAGCAGAAACTCCAGAGCACTTTTTTATGTGTGCTACACATTTGACTATAAACAATGACGAAACATCCAGGTTCTCTTCCATCCCTGTTTGAACAATGGGACTTTTTCCGGCTCTGAATGCATTGCCAGCCAGATCGCTTTAGCCACATAGCCTGCAGACATCTGAGTTTCTGCAGCTACTGCCAAGAAACGCTCCCCCACAAGCTCTCAAAGCCTAATGAATACAACGTTCATACATCCTTCATATTGGAGAAAGGAAAAAAGAGACATTAAAAATAATCCTATTAATAATAATTGTTTACACCATGTCATGATAAGAACAGCAAAAGGAGCAAGAAGAACATACTTTAGAAACAACAATGAAAATTGTAATAAACAATCAGTTTGGCAAACGATGCTGTTTTCGGCGAAGCTCCGCCATCTGTAGCGAGGCCTGTGGAGTGAGGTGGGATGGGGCAGGAGGGTCGCGGGGTCTAGGGGATTAGGGCCTTTTGGGGGACTTGCAAGATGGGATTATGTCCTCTTCCTGTCATCCTTAACAGCGCCCTGTTTGCCACCGCTTCCTTGTCCCACAGCAGGCCAGACTTGTCATCACTCAGACAAGAAATGGACCTCATACAGACACAGAACTGGATGATACTGATGTGCTGAAATAGGAGAGGAAGGGTGGTGTGTGTGTGTTGGGGAGTGGAGTGCATTGGGAATCAGGGAGTGGGCGGTTGTGTCACTCCAGAAGGATCATAAGAAGATCAACCAGTCACGGTGCTAAAATGGTTTAAATGAGCTGCTGTTGAGTCCATTTGTCGTTGTTGTTTTCATCACAATCCCAGATTCTTTGGGCGTTATTTAACATAATGAAAAACTTTTGTTGCTGATGCTTTTTTTCCTTTGTTTGGTACTACATTCCCCTTAGAGTTCTGCAGAGCTGGTGAGGTTAACAAGCCTCTGCTAATACTTCGGTATGTTGGGGGTGGTTGTGGTTCTGTTAGGACAGGGAGGGGGCAGGGGAAGGCAGGGTGGGGTGGTGTGAGAAGATGGAAGGAGTATCAGGGGTGACGGGTGGTTGGCAGTCCCTCTCCCAGAATGCTCTAGTCCAGGGGTTCCTGTTTTATCCTGATGGGAGTGTTGATGGACAGACTTCGCCGGTCCTCACGACACAACACATACTCGCTGAACTGGGATGAGTCCACACCGCCTCCACAAGACGCCGCCACGCTGAAACCTTTCTGGAAAAGGCGCTCCAGGACCTGCAAACAGAGGGAAAAGAGAGGAAGAGAGTAAAGAGAGGGGTATTAATGACAGAGCTGCCACGTTAATAGAGCTAAATCTAACTGAGAAGTATTACTGATAGAGTTGCAAGTTTCAGGTTTCATACTTTTTTTAAGGAAAGGTTCAGCATTTTGAGAAATATTTTTATTGAGCTTTCTTGCTGTGAGTTGGATGAGAAGATTGATACCACTCTTATGCCTGTATGCTAAATATGAAGCTACTGCCAGCTGCTGGCTAACTTAGTTTAGCTCAAAGACAAGCATTTGGGAAACAACTACCTTGGCTAATCCCCAGTAAAATGACCATTTTTGTTTTTGTACAAATTCAACAAACAAGATTGACCTTTAGTCATTTGTTATCTTTGGACAAAGCCAGGCTAACTGTTTCCTGTCTTTATGCTAATGTAAGTTAGCTGGCTGCTGGCGGTAGCTTTATATTTACTGTACAGACGTGAGAATGGTATCAGTCTACACATCTAACTCTTGGCAAAACAGTGAATAAATGTATTTCCCAAAAGGTCAAAGTTTTTCCTTGAATATAAGCACTTTTTCTTCTGCTAGAAATGTATGCTTTTCCAAACAGAATCAGACCACATTCATCAAAATAAAGATGACTCATAGGAGAGTTTAGTTTTTAGTCTTGGACGGGTATCACTTTTTGATATCCATCCTTCCTCACATCAACCTCAGATCTTTATCAGTCTCAACATACACCATGTGTCATTAACCTCCCCCTCCTCCAATCACACGTAGCAATTGGAATAAAACCAGGGGGCACGCCGACATCACACCACCTCTGCAATATTCATGCCGCTTGTGCTGGATTGGCTACTGAACCGAGGGCATGAGCTCAAAGGGATGAGGAGAGCCGAGTGTGAGTGAGGTGTGTTAAGGGGCTGAGTGGAGCTCAGCGTGGTGATTACTGGAGCTCCTAATTTGAGTAATGAGGCCGGGGTGAGAGGAGAAGTGAGGTCCGTGAGCGAAGGAGAGAGCGACGTGTGGGGAATGAGGATGGGGAGTTATGGGTGCTCAGTGTAAGGACAAAGTGTTGGAGCTGCAGGGAGAGAATGGGAGACAGGGATGCATGTTAGCCCTCGAGTCTGGGCATTGATACACAGACGAGTCAGATGCACTCAGACACAAACACGTGAACTCCAACATCACTTTTCTCTCTTCATCTGACGAAAGTCTTGTGGGATGTTGTTTTTTTGGAGGCGGTATATCTAAATCCCAGTGAGAAGAGTGCCGTGTATTTACTTATTCCCCCGTCCTTTTTAATGGAGTGTGCAGCGCATGGAAATGAAAGGTCTCGCCAAGGGCTAACCCCTCCTGCCAGCTACAGAGCCAGAGAAGTTTGCACAAAAAAGATCAGTTTCTTCAGACTCCCATACACACACACACTGACACATGCACTCATGGCGAAGGATGACCTCTCTAATTACAGGAGTGAAGGCCCCATCGGAGGGCTAAAGTGGGGCGTTTAGGCCTCCAGGTCGAAGGGCTGCAGCTTCCCGTGACTGGGGATTAGCACAACAGAGAAGAGCAGATAAATCACACGCACAAACTCACAGAGACAGTCATGAGACGTGTGAAAGAATGCAAACTTACAGATGCAAATTATAACTTGTTGAACAGACCTGAACCCCCTCCCACCGCTTCCTGATTAAAACTAAAATGTGGGCTGACGTGCTGCTTGTACGCAGAAAGGACCACTTGGAAAAGTTATTCCCCCTCCTTTTTCGTCCTCTGGCCATACAACGACGACAAACTCTGTAATTTGTGAGACAGAAGGGGCGGCAGACAGCTGATGGTGAGGATGGCTAATTAAGAGACCTGCCCAAGCATCAAACACTCCCAAATCCATGACAGACGATGGAGGAGCCTAACGATTATGGAAATGATATTACATAGCCTTCTTTGATCATTGCATCACATTGCATTTTTCCCCATCATCTCTTAACGCATGTGGGACTCTGTCATGTTCGGCAATGAATTTGGTCACAGAGGAGAATGGCCTGATCAATAAAGATAGTCTGAAAACACTTTTATCATTAATGCATGGCAACACAAAAGACTTAAGGATATTATTATAGATAGTTGTAACTGATTCAAGAATACTGTAATGACTATAAGAAGCCATAAAAAAACTTCACATTCAGTTTGACACAGTGAATTAGTGCCACAGGGCAATAAACAATACATTGAATAATTAAGATGTATCCAAGCAAAAGGTTTCAATGTCTACAGGACAACGTCCTGAAATCAATCCCAGCTGACAACAGAAAGTAATGCGCCCTCTTAAAAAGCTAACACATGTCCTGGTGGCTCAGTTCAACACAACATACTTGTGACTGCAGGCTTTCAGATCCCAGCTTATGTTGTACTTATGTAGATTTCTCTGCTTACTTTCCTGCCTCACTTGAGCGAAACCATAGCAAAATATTCAAATGGCGAGCTGCATGTGAGCAATCTGATTCGTCAAAGTTTCACTCCAAGCCTGATGATTTCCGTGAAATGGAATTAGAGGTAATTATGTACACTACTTTGACCTTCCCAGAGTCGAGTATTGCCGTGACCATGTATGAGGCTATTGTTTTAAAAACAGGAAATCAGAATACAGCATTGCAGAGAATATGACAACACCAAAGTTAGCTAGTTATGCACTGAACTTTAGCACTTCTTCTTGTCTCTTCCTGCCTTTGTGATCGAAGCAGAAAGCTGAATAAAAGTGTCTCCTCGCCCTCTTCATCCCCCAGTGATCCTTACACATTTGAAACATAATAAACCATTCTCACTGTTACAGGGTCGACTCAGCTGCACAGGGATCTGCCCCCAAAACACACACATACCATTAACCATATAACAATCTCACTGAGCTGCCACTCAATCTAGGGTCACATGGGGGAGAGGAGAAGCTATATAAGCCTCACTCCTCTAACCTCCCAGCGCCGAACATTTCCAACACAACGAAGATGGCGGGAATCAAAGTAAATGAGTCTTAGGACTGGAAACGGGAGCACAATTTAATATTGATGGCCACCGGAGTGCACACACACACTCGCAACACCTCTCAGGAGGCGCTGGAAGACACTTGCTCCTCATGGCACAGGGCTTAGAGTTGATTGACATGTATGACACACACACTGTAGCATGTGATGGGCGCTGCACTCAGGGGGTCCCTTTGATTAACTATGCACAGTTTTTAATATGTGACAAGCAGCGCTAACTGCAGTCTCTGCATCGCATCCTCTGCTTATCGCAAGCATCTGGCATAAAACAGCCGAGAAGGTCCAACTCTTTCTAATTCTCTGAACCATCTGCCCACTTTTTTAGGAATCACAAGCGACAAAAACACTTTGACAGTGTAATATATTCTCATAGCATTTGCGGCACATTATCGAGTAGCTGTGTTTGTGGAGCTGACAAGATTGAGCTTACCATTATCAATGGACACTTTGATTTTAAATGTCTTTATATGGATCTACACAGTAATTTCAGGTGACTGTTGCAGCAATGCAGCTCCTACCCCTGGCACTGTAAATAGCGACTGAGCTAGACAGGCAACAGAGGTATTTAGGGTTAGGTCAGTCCTCAAAGGGACTGCAAGTACAGGTCAGACTAAACTGAACAGTCTTAAGCATGTGAGAATAAAGGATCTCACACAACTTTTCTTATTCATCTGTGGTCTGTGCCTTTTGCTTCATGGTACTCATACAATGGTTGCCAGTGGTGGAATGTAAGTACATACTCTATACTCAAGTACTCAAGTTCTAAATAATTTTGTACTTCAGCTAACTTGAGTATTTACATTTTATGCAAATTCACTTCTACTCCACTATTACTACTCCATTTCAGTCAGAAACATTGTACTTCTTACTCCATATTATTATAGTATTTGACAGCAATAGTTACTATTGTACTTTGTAAAATCCTGATAATACATTTGTGCTTTTACTTTAGTATGATTTTTAATAAAAGACGTGAAATTGAATAGTGGAATGGACACTTTACTTCAGTAAAGAATCTGAATGCTTCTTCCACCACTGATGGTTACATCTGCGCTGCAAAGCCTATTTTTTCTGACATTACATCAGATATATAAATAACAATATAATATATAACAATTTTATAGGAAGTTTATTTCTTCTGATTACACAGTGTACAAACTTTGGAGTCCTCTGATTAATTCTCTTCCTGTTCAGCCCTCCAGCTGTATCATAATTCCCGTTGGCTGTTGCCAGGGTCACTCTTAGAAAGATCTACTTTCCACTACCTAACCATGCTGCGTCCAACAAAAACATTCAACATTTTTCTGGCACCGACTGCTGAAGCTGTCAGCAGGCAACATCGTCCAGTTTTTACCCTCAACATACTGCAGGTTAATCTGCTGCCTGTTGGGCCCCGAGTGCCCGATGCTGTTCTCTACCCACTGAGCCACACGGGCGGTACAGAGACCCCTAACCACAGCAGTGTTAATGTCTTGTTCTGCCACTGAGGAGCAAAGCTGAGGTGTTTGTGTGGCCTTGTCTGCTCTGATGAGCTGTGCTTTCGCTTTCCACCCAGCGCAGGATTGATGGAGTGGCAGTGTGACATGTAAGAGAGTGTTGCAACGTGTTGCGTTCTCCGCCTGGGCAGCAGGGGAACAGGGGGCCCCTTCTCTGCGACTACCTCCGCTGTCACATTGATGAAGGACGGATTGGCTCTCGTCTGATCTGAGTGCTTCATCATGGTGATGTATGGATCAGCAGGCTCGGCCCCAGCTCTGGGACGCGTGTGTGTACACCTCTGTGGCTCTTTGGCTAAATGTTTTCCCTCCGTTAAGTGCCTTTGCTGCTCTCTGTTTCTCTCCGCTGGAGCTACATCACAGCGCAGGTGGTTTGCATTATTCCCTAAATTCCATTCATGACTTCATGGAGGATCACTCGCCAAGGTGGAGTTGTTTATTCTCACTCTCTCACATTTGAATACACCAGATGAAGAACTATAGCAGGGGCTAAATTTACAGCATACATTGTAATACTGTAAGACTTTCCTTCCAAGATATTCTCTTTGTAGACTTATACAGACAGTTAGTATTGTTATATTTCTAACTGTAAATAGAAGATGATATAATAACGTATCAGGAATTTGATACTCTTGAAAAAAGCCCCCAAAACAGAATCCTTGAACTGCTTTGAATATCCCTGAGTAATTGAGTCAGATCTTTCACTCCAAAGTATAACCAATTTTACTGACCTTAGGGATGTTACTTTATCTTCAAGTGAATAAAAACTGAATAATAAACTGCAAAAACTAGGTTGCAGTGCTTAGTGTACAGTAAAGTATTGAGAAATGTCATGTTATCTCATTGTGACCAACGTATCACAAGGTCTAGCAGTTTCCAGCCCTGGGCAAAACAGCAACAGTACCTTAGCTTCAATAAAATCATTTGGGACGAAAATGAATTCTCTATGCCAGCGACATATAATAATTGAAAACAGCGTACATTTAAAAGTTGTCACATATCCATCTCTTTCTTGTCAGGACCTCCTCAAAAAACAGTCCAGTCATAAATACTCTCTTCCAGACAAAGCTACATCTGCCCGCGTCCCCCCCTTCTTTCTCTTCTTGGTCTTCCTCTGTGGGCAGGGTGTGGTTGTGTATGTGTTCCCCTGGGTTGGGGTCCAGGACTGAAATCAGATCAGAGGCTCATTGTCTGGCGAGTAAGACAAGGATTATTTTCCTAACCTTCTCATACCTTCACGCAACAATGAGAGAGGACAGAATGAGTAAGTTGTTTAGAAAAATCTCCCCTTACACCGAAAAACACCTCCATCTGCTCCTCGTGTACTCATCTACATCGACTCAATGAGCCGGGCCCCTCTACTGTGCTTGCATATGTGTGTGTGTTTGCGCATTCAATTTTTCAGAATTTTGTGTATCTGTGTATCTTAAATGGGCCAGCATAAGACAAAAAAAGAGCCTGGCACCACAACTAACACCACCTTAACTGAGAGAGGCCATGCTGTTGACAAAAGGGAGCATCGCTTACAGGAAACCGTGAAGATCCAGCTCCTCTTTCTGTTAGCAGTTTGTCTGAAAAGAGGATTTCTGCCCTCTTCACCTTCAGTGGAGCAGCCCAATAAAGCCTAAACAATAAAAACTCCTTTCAGACCATGTTAGTCACATTCCATAACCAGTCTCACTGGTAAACAGAGTGGGAAAATGTTGTGTTAGTTGATGCGGCCAATTAATTATATTGCAAGTCATTTAAAAATCTATAAAAGAAGTATAAACCGGTTTAGGCTGTTTGAGAAATTGTAAGTATGGTATTAAAAAATGCAATACGTGTATTTCAATTGCCTTGAGCGGTGTTATATTGGAGTCTTTTTTAAAAAGGAGCTGTGTCTTAAAAAGGAGTAAAGCGTAAATTATGCATATCATCCCCCCCCTCTTTCCATTGCTCTTCTTCATCGTTTCGCAAGAAAACATGGCCGCAGTCCACACATGCTTTGTCCCTATTGCTCGGCTCTCCTCCCTGGAGGTGGTCTCTCACACTGGTGGGAAGGAGGTGGAGGTGTCAGAGTGCACTAGCCTGCCTGGGAGAGGCTCCCTCTGGGTGCTGGAGGGGGGAAGGCTCCTCTATGTGTTAGCCTGTTCATGGCTGTGGGCACTGAAGTGTGTTATATCAAGCCTGTGGTGTGAGGCTGTTATGTTTCCCCCCTTGTTCTCCCTCTCACAGACCTCTCTAGGTATCACAACTGTAAAACTAGTTTTCTGAGTTTGTTTTTAACATCCTACTGTTTTACTACCCAGTCTGCTTTAAACAGGGTGATTGAGAATCAGATTACTGCTTAAAATGCTATAACATACTGTAAATAAAATCTATTTGAGATTATATCAATACCATATGTATGTAGTATGAGTACAATCAAAGGGTAATGAGCAGTCACATACTACAAAGCACAGGCCAGGCTCAGATTACACATCATGCTACAGCCACAAGAGCCACTTGGAAGCTGTGACAGAATAAAAGAATACACAAAGTCTGTACACTTGTTATTACCTCTGGTAATCTCTCGACAAACTGACTTTAGCTCCATCAGAGTAGCTATTATCTCAGTTAGTGACAACAAGCTATTATCTCTACTGTGGCAAAATGCGGTACACTATAAAGGGCCACAAATCACGGCAACTTCACTGAGAGGGAGAATAAGAGACAGTCCTTCAGCAGATGCGATGATAGACTCAGTAACACCAGTGGAGCTGCACAGTGGCCCTCAAAGCACTGGTTGTACGGTACAAATGCCAGCCAGGTTTTTAAGTGTGTATGAAAGTGTTGACGGGTGGTGGTGAAAAATGGTTTGCTTGCTCAGCAACATCTTACACTGGATAAATACTGGTTAAAAGAGTCTCCACTGTGGCAACATTCAGAGTGTATACAAGGCCACAAATCCTGTTGACTGACTCATAGCAAAGTTTCTCGGTGGAATCTGCGTCCTATGGCTAACCTCAAAGACTGGACAGATTCCATAAAACACCTAAAGTGTCCTTTGCACTTCAACACATGCAGAACTAAAGTGTCTAGACAAAATGTACACAAAGGTTTCATTATAAAATTATGAGGAAACCTGTGCATTTAAAAGAATTATCTTCACTTCCTGATGCAGAAAAGATTTAATCCTTAGAAAATAAATGCTAGCTAGCTAAGGACCTTAAACTGAAAATACAGTTAACATAAGGAAACACTTCACTTGAAGTCTTTCACTGTAACAATGTGTTTCAGAGCTATTGTATCCCATCTTACAAATGCATTACATAATGTGTTTTGACATCCTTTTCCATTTAACACCTTATGAATCGGTTGGAAATGTGTTACTTAAAGTTACTGTATACAAGCACCAGGAGTTATTCAACCCTACATACATTATGTCTTTTCACCAAAGGTCTTTTTGTTAAAAACATCATTCATTTCAGAGCGCTACTTTCATTTAGTTTATTATTTAACTATTGCAATTACAGTATAATATCCCTGTAATATTCCTAAAACATACTATATGTTTTCATAGTTAGTCCTTCATAAAGTTTCTCCTTCACGCAATATTGAATTTAAACTAATTTATCTTTATCATATCTTACATTACACCTGTAACTAAATACTCTATGTTGAATCTAGAATTTCATGATATTTTTCTCACTACAATATTGTTTGATTTGTAGCATATCCTCTTGACTTTTATCATGCTTTATTTTTCCAAATCAGTCAGGGAAAGGTATTTGTTGAATTACCCGTCCCAGAATGTAATGCATTACTTTAATTCGGATTTTGTACTTGCTGTCAGCAGACTACTCATAATACACTTCAGGGACACCACACCAAGTCACAGAAATATATGGTCCTTGCTTATTCAACAGGACATTACAATAAGTACAACACTGTGAAAACACTACAACTAGTTCGGTAGTTGTGTTTTACATGAATTGGATGTAATAAATGTGCCACACACAGAGGGGGGACAGATTAGGACAAACAAAAAGTTTCCAGTGTGTTACCTGGACGGAGTTAAGCCTGCAGTAGCCATTGAGGGGAAAGCGGATGACGTGTGTTGGGTCCTGGTTCCAGCCGGCATTGACTGAGTTACACATAACGTCTCCAGTCTCAGGGAAGATCTCCTCGATGAGGACCTTCTCCCCACTCAAAGCGATCCTCTCACCCAGGTCAGGTGTGACACGGACCACCAGGCAGTCACAGGGCTGCGCCATCCGTCGTTGCTCGCGCTCTTGCTTCCAGCGCTCCAGCTCCTTGATCATGGGTGTCAGCTGGTAATAGCGCGCCTCCTCGTACAGCAGGTGGAAGTCCTATACAGGCAGATGAGCATGGAGATAAGTGCAGTGAGTTTTCATGTGTGTGCGGTCCACTTGGCTATATGTGTGACTAACACACTGAGTTTCATTACATTACAGTTCATCACCAAGGTCTTTAGGAGAAAAGCCTACACATATATGGTATTGTGCAACATTAGGATGACAGTAGAAGGTATATTTACAGGATATCCTGATGGCTTCCCTACGGCAACTAATGACTATGAATAAGTGTCCTTGAGCAAGACACTTAACCTCTAATTACTCCAGGAGTGCTGTTCTGGCTGTATCTGCACTTTCACCCTTCTACAGTAGTGAAACACCAGCTGTGCGGTACAGGCATGCATGGGAGAGCAAATAACTAATGGCACAGTGATTAATATGCTCAAAATGTCCTACAATATTTCTGAATATTTTTAGGAGACACATTTATATATGTGTGTCAGATGTCCTTTGTCCTCACTGTCTGTTACAAGAAACCATTACTAAGGAGTGCAAAGGGTAAGGCACCATGTTTTAGACCAATGAACTCATCAGGCTTCTTGTAATGTCAGCAATGTAAGAGTTTAAATGTATACTCCTGATCTGGACAAGAATCAGATAAATACCACAAATAGAAATATAAAAATATAAAAACGAAAATGAAAACAGAGCAGTGCTTAACATCTTACTTGTTACCAATATATCTTCTGGAAAGAAGAACAATAAACCAAGATCGGTGATGGCCTCCGACCAGCGGGACAACACTCTCAATAAACAAAGCATAGCCATGCTGCAGCTCTCCTCCACAGTAGCTCTTGGCAGAGCTGCGCTAGCCTTTAGCATGTTTTAGTGAGCTGACTCCAGAAAGGCCGTCAGTAGGGCTCCAGTGAAGTGGGATGGTGCATTCCTGTGTGCAGACAGTCTGCAGCAGATTGTCTGCCTCTCCCTCCTGGGCAAGGCTTACTGGGGGCCATTTGCCCCTGCGCTCTTGCCTCTAATTTCCCACAAGACCAGATGGCACCATCATTCACCGCTACCATAGAAAATCCAGGGAGGGGCGGAGGTTCGAGGCAGACAGGAGGTGAGGAAAAGATATGTGCAAGTGAACATGAGGACAATCATCAGCCAAGGAGGATTTTTAATGTATTCCTCACATGGAGGGAGTTTTATGTTAATGAGGCTTGTGGCCCAATGTTAAGCTCCTATTAGAACAAGATTTAATTAGGTTACACCTAAATGCTGCGACTCTTTCTGCTAAACAATTAGTAATTAAATCTGTGTTCTGATTAGTGTTTCACAGTGACAGCTTAATTCATTCTTAGTTTATAAACTTCCATCACTGCCATTCAAAGTTTATTCTTACATGATAATCATGTTCCTTTGCTCCGAGCTATAGTTTGTTTTAGTGTATGGACATCATCAAACTACAGCAGAGCTGAGCATTTTGCTACATATTTAATAGGTACAGATAGAGGTTGCTCATCTTGGCGCAGTGCAAAGTCTCAGCGCCCTTGAAGAGTAATTCAATGTGGATTTGTGCTGCGGAAACAACATATGTTTCATATAGTCTGCATCATTGGTGGCTGTGGGTGCTGGGTGCTGGTGCTGCCAGGGAGCCCTGATCTAAAAAGAGTTTTTCCCATTCCCTTCTCCGGACCACTGCTGGGTATAGAAACAGAGCATGGCAGCAAACAGCATATTCATTAACCCCGCTGCTTCTGTCAGACTGTTTAGCCTTGAAAAGCCTCCCTCTCTGGTTTACCCCCTCATCTAAGCTGTGCCTTCATCTGAGGCGTGTGAGCGACACCCAAATACAACTCCATCTGGACAGCGTTGACGCAACACATCTTAAGCTGACGGTCTAATATTTAAGATTTCAGAATGCGAATGAAGGGAGGGAGTGGGTCCTTCTTTCCCTTTTTCTTTTCCTTTCTCCCTGTCTTTTTCTCTCCTGGCCCTCTTGCTGCAGCTGACAAAACTCATACTGAGACGCTCCCCTTCAGGCAGCTCTCTGTATCAAAGTGTAGCTCCTCATCCTTCACAGGTCTGAAACCATGGATGGATATGTTTTTAACAGGGGTCTGTCTGCAAGGCACTTTAGTCATCCTGAGCAGCGCAGAAAACAACAGAGTAATCCTAAGCGCTGAGGTGAGGATGAGAGGGAGACAGGGCCAACAGCTCCGTCCTGGCTGCTGGAGCTGCTGCTACTGCTGCCAGCTCTACGAGACAATTCATCCCCCAATCCTGTGTCCAGACAGCCCGTTTGAGCTTCAAAATAATGATCCGACCTGATCGCCCACCGGCAAGGCAACATCTCAGGGAAGGACAGAGGGAGGGAGAGACAGAGAGGGAGGCAGGGAAAGAGAAGAAGAGGAAGAAAATGATGGAAACTGTCACGATGAGGGAGTTGGAGGACTGATAAAGACCTACCGTGTGTTTTGGACAAAAAATGACTAAAGCCACACAAGTAGAGGCTCACAGGTTGTTGATTATACAGGCCACCGATGAAAGTCTCTCATCTAATATACAGCAGTGACAAAAGAATAAAAACATTCCCCCTTTTCTATTATTGTTAGCATTTGCTACCTAAAGAAACAAAGCGTTATTGATTTAAAGTGCAATACAAAAGCCTGAACAAACCGAGGCAGGAACCACTAACTCTTGACGGTTTATAACCGTGCCCTCAGTATGACTGAGCATTGCTTACACTCTTGTGATTAATTGTAGTTTGAATAATGAGATGAGGGAGGATATTAATAGTGAATATTTTGTTCCACTGATGTAGGCTGAAAAATTTCTTTTCCTATTCTGCTCAGACTTTCACATTGATTTAGCAGAACACACAGCGCCGTGGCTGCCAGCAGCAGAACAGACCCAGCCCTCTGGCGACGGCAAGCCTGATTGTGTTCAGATAAGGACATGCTCAATTCCGCCTCGCACTATTTGCATTTTTTTCCCCCGTCTTCACGCAAATTGAAAGGTATGCAGATCAACACAGGCTTATGCGAGGGGATCGTAATGAGTTGAAACAATGAAGCCCAGTGCGTTCTCTTCAACCATGGTGCCTGATTGGACTGTCAAGACTTCACAGAGAGGGAGGGAAAAGCATGAATAAGAAGGGGAAAACTAATCGGTACTGAGTCAGGCCATCATTTGCAGAAAATATGCAGGGCTTTCATGTCATGTTCTGTTGTCTGAAGTTTGGCTCTCGTTCAGACTATCCGTGAGGCCTGGAGAGTTTGCCCCTGGCTTTGTGTGGCTTGGCCTCGCCTTGTTCCCTTGTAGAGAATGATGAACAAGCGCCAGCCCGGTGGAAAGGTCACACAAGTTAAGGTGGAGTAGAAGTGAAGAATAGAATACACCTAGGAAACACTATCACTGAATAAAAACCTTGAACAGGAAGGAGCTGCGGGCAGAATATATAATAATTCTGACAAAGCCACATGTGGTTGTGTGGGTACTTGTGGGGTAAGACTAACTTGCTAGTAATGCCATCAGTTTGGTTTAAACCTGCACTAATTAATATTCTTATAATGACAGTGGATTAACTGACTATGTGTAACTTGAAAGGTGTTGCTCATAATGATGAACTAGCAGAAAATAACTACCCAATTCTGCTCAGTGCTGTCGAACGTTTTAGTGTGTTTCAGCTCATTGTTTTGGTTTTATGGCACCCAACTTTACTTTACTTTTCATCAACCAGCAGCAGTAGGCAGCTGTTTTTAGGAAAAATAAAAAAATAAACCTACTGAATGCTACCTGCCCATAAACAAACAGCAGACAGAAATTGTTAAAGAGCTGGTGACATTGTATTGCATTTAGCAGCTAAAGTGGTGGAGACCAAACAAGAGCTGGAAGGAGAGTCAATAGAAGGAGGACTTACATTTGGCAGGCGGCCAGAAACACAACTTCAAATAGATACTAAATACATGTTGCTCCATGTCTGATAAATAAGAAACACATTTCTTCATATTGTCCTCATAGATATTTAAAACTATTATAGTATAAAAAGTTTTACCATTTAATGTCCAATAAGTTTGAACAGAGAGCGAAATGCTTTATGATCCATTTGCACAGCTCGTATCAAAAACACAAGTCGTGCATATTTAGCTCACCAATAACCTACGAATACCTTACATGGATGGGAAATCTATCTATGAACACCTAAGAGTGTATAAAGCATTATTTGATACCAAGCCTGACAGCATTAGTATGATAACGAACATGATATACTCTGTGTGTGTTCACTTACAACACAAAAGAAAAGAATTCTCTCATGCAGACGCTAAAACAGGAGCCAGGTGTGTGCAGTCTGAGTAGGCTAATACGGGCAGATTCAGTGGCCCACAAAGAGTAAAGTGTGTGTGCACAGATGCATGTATACGTCGGTACAGAGCATGTTAGTATGTATTTAACTGCACCAACACAGCTCTCCCAGTGAGTTCCTGACTGTCTGTGAGACTTCCTATCTGTGTGGGAGTCGGTCATCAGAGCGCAGGGGGAACTGAGGGGTGTACAGGCTATTTCACCTGGGTTCACCTCTATAGAAACCACTCTGAGTGAAAAACAACAGCTCAGGGCTTTGGCACACACATCACCGGGCCATGCTCCAGTTAGCCAGTTAGCATTTTATCTCTCAACCACTGTAAACTCCAACTGAGTCTGTTCCATAATTCTTTTTCCCCCCAAAGTTTCCTAATTACTGCTTATGCTTATACTACAGGTAATTAATGTGTTGAATGGGAGGAGGGTGAGTCTATGTTAGCATTGTGAAAACAGAACTGGCGGCTCTGTTGTGGTGTCAGGTCTATTTTGAAAACATGCAGCACCTTAGAGGGCAGGTGAATATTAATGAATACAAACATATTCACACTTTGGTGTATTATCTTGAGAAAAATCAGGAAATTCACACAATGCTACAACGTGTCTGGGCAGATGGCCTAACATACTCAAGCATTTTATGTTGTTATGTTGTTCAAACTGTGCGAGCTGATGGTGCAGACAAGTACACACAATACAGTGTGTTGTGGTGCAGATATATACCTTGAAGTCATCTGGAAGGAGCAATTTGCTGGTCCTGAGGAAACTGAGAATGTAGCGGAATATCTCGCCGTCCCGATCTATGAAGTAGTGCTGCTTCAAGCTGTCCAACACGATGGGCTCGGTGCCATTGAACAGACGACTGATTCTGAAAATTGAAATACACACACACAAACACACACGCACACAGGCAGCCACACACACAAACACACACACATAATGGAATGAGCCAGCTCCCTTCAAATGCATGAAACAATTACCCTCCATTTATTTTTCAATTTTATTAGCACTAAGCTTGAAATGCATTAGCATCCCAGGTTGAAACAAGGGGCTTAAGGCACAGTTCCTCCATTCCAGACTTGTTTGAAGTGTCCCTTCTGCAGAGAGATTATAACAACACACACGCTTGCTGCTTGTACTTACAGAAATTAATGGCATGAATGTAGCATTACAGCTCTATTATTCCATCTGTCAGAGGCGTGGAAATGAAACAGAGGTAGGAAATTGTGGAGGTCCACATACTAATGTGAGGAGGACATCTGGAAGAAATATTTTACTTTTACAGCTTGACTTTGTTATGAATGTGAGAGGACTTTGGACAGCTGCAGCTCTACTGTATGTATTACAATTTTGATATCTATCCGATGTTCTGTGTTTTGTTTACTTCAAAAATCTCATTATATAATTTTGTTGATTTGAAGATAAATGAGTGACTATTGCATTTAAAACTATATTTGAATTTCTCTGTTCCTATGTAATCTGTAGCAATCCATAATTTACTGACTAACTGGGGTCTTACTGAAAATAAAGTCAACATATAGGCCATTTCATTTAAGAAAAAGAAATCTGACTCATATGTCATCCCAGAAAATAAGTTGCACTTTGGTTCTCCTACAGTATCTGTAGGCTGAATTAGAGTTATTTGGTTCATATTTAAAGGCAAAGCAAAGATAGAAGAACATCCAAACGAGAAAATAACAACTGAAAAGATGAAAATCAATAATGCTTTCTTAAGAAACACAACATTTAATTAAAATAATAACAATGATAATATGTATGTGTTTAACCTTTTACCTAATATCGACAAGACTTTGGTGAAATAATAAGGCACATGTTGCTGTCTATAGCGTCCCATGGTTAACCCCTTCCAACAGTGCACTGCAAGATTAAGGGCTTAGTTGAAGTTGGCTACAGGGGCTCATCAAGGCAAAGAGTGGAAATTGCTGTTATCTTTAAACTTTCATCACACCATGTTGGCGCCGTGCCTCGAGATACCCTTGGACAGATATTCATTTACCCTCGCCTTTGTGTGGTTTTCCTGCTGCTTACCTGCAGGTCCCTCTCACGCTGATCTAATAATCTCATCTGGGCACCTCCACTCTATCTCTATATATCCCTATTCAATAATTAAAAATAGGTTTTTAGCATCTCTTAAATATCGAGGATGCAGTTGGCACAAGTGTTTTCACGTGTTTGCAAAACTTTTGTGCTCCCATAGGTTGAACTAATGGAACTCTGAAGTGCAAAAAATTGCTTTAATTTTGTGACTCATTTTAAAACAAAACTCGCATTTCCCTCAGCAGAGAAACCTGGAATGCCTGCGCAGTGTAAACAAGTCGTGCTTGTGATTTACACAAGAAATCTGTTGCACGTAACCTCCTTAACGGTTTCTCTGCACATTTCCATCGTCTCTCTGAGAAACAGCTCTTGGCAGGGCGCTGCGTTGCTGTTATTATCATCATTTTGATGTAATCAGCTCTTTAATCACAGTAACAGCTTCTAGGTCGGCTGACAAAGTTGTATGACAAAGAAAATCGTAAAACCTATTTGCAAACACCCAGACCAATACACACACAACACCCAGCACTGCCTGAGCACCGGCATTGTCAAACTCTATTACAAGACACTGGAAGGGAGCCGCAGAGGGAATGCCAATGAACAAACAGCAGGGCTGGCTTCACTCACACACTCATTTTACTGAATTTACAATTACAATCCTCTACTTTTTAAAAGTGTGTGAGCTTGTGTTTAATGGTTGTATCGGGTATCTCCTGACCCCGATGTGTCGGCTCAACACACCAAAGCTATCATGTCAAATTCACCCTGTTTCTTTTTCTTTGACTTGACTGTGTGAAGAAGCAGAGCAAAGATGGTTCTCCCTCCCTCTCTCTACCCTCCTGCCATCTTTTCTCTCTTTCACTCTCTCTTTCTTTCTTTCTCTCTCTCTCTCCGTCTCCATCCTTCTCGCTTACTCGCTTTCTCTCTGGAAATCGATGCAAAATGCTTTATAAAAAACCAATACTCATCTCCCTGTTTCGCCCGAGGTGTTCCTTTCTCATATGGTCTTGCAATTCTTCCAGCTAGAATTTCACCATACCCCTCCAGGCTAACTCTGTTTTTCATCTCCACTTTTTTAAAAAGCAATTAAAATGCTGCCTGTTTTTCTTTTTCTTTCCCTCTCTTCTACTCCCTTCTCTCTCTCTCTCTTCCTCTGTTGGTCTCCTCATTTTTTCTCTTTCTGTTAAATCCCTGAATTGGTGGGGGGTTTAACAGGTAGGGAGAGAGAAAGGGTGTAGAGAAATTAAGAGAGAAGAAACATAGACAGGCCAAAAGACAAAGAGATTGACAGAGAGAGGGAAAGATGAACGGAAGTAAAGAGGGAAAAAGAAATAGGCAGGGAAAGAAACAAACACAATATGAGAGGAAGACAGAGAGAGATGGAGAGTGTAAGAGAAAAGGCTATGACAGACATACAACACAGAAAGACAGAGAGAAAGAGTCAAGGAGAGGGAGGGAGGTGGTGGGTGTGGGAGGTTATCAAGGACAGGAACAGCTCAGATCTCCCACCCCAGTGGTGCCAAGTGAGGGCAGGCAGCGGGGCAGTAGGTGGGCAATATCTGGCAGCATCCTCACTGCTGCAACTACAGCTGGCCAGTGGCTCAGAGCTGCCAGAGACGTGTCTGCAAGAGGTGGGAGGGGGATGCAGTGCAGGTATCACTGATTCTACAAGAACAGATGCTATCTGGAAACTGTAACACTAATGGATGCCTAATAAACGCAAGACACCCAGCAGCTTCCTGCAAAGTGAAACAACAAACCCAGGGATCTCAGTGAGTGTGTCCACCCTGACATCAAGGGCTGCCCACAATGGCTTTTAAGTAGTGGGGGGGTCTGAAGTTAAAAAGCCAGATCGCTACTGTGTCTGCTTATAGACATTGTATACACTGACATTTCTCAAAAAGCTCTCCCAAAGGGTGTGTGAGAAAGGTTTCAAAACAAGAAATACTATTTTAATTTAGCTGAATATTATGATTTAAAGAGAATATGGCTGTTCAAATCAGGTTCCAATGTAACTCAAAGTACTTATACACGTTTCTACATTTCAAAACAGCAACAGCAACAAAAATCTTCTTACACGGTTCTCTGGGAATACATTACATGTATATTTGCCTACATGGATCCATGATGTGAATTGCGCATACACTGATAAATTAACTGTATTAATGCTTTAACTAAAGTCCCCTACTCATATACTCTCGCTAACAATCATAGAGTTCATCTGCAGTTTATGAAAACATTTAATTTTGGAGCTACATAACATGACAATTAATTCTCATTATTATTTCACGTTAAGTGATTAAAACTAAAAGTCTTATCAAACAGATAATTTTAGTTTAGATCATAGCAGCGGGTTAGTGCCATATACACTCTTTAAAAGGCAGAAAATGCACTTGAGGCTACATCCAAGAGGCCTAAAAATGAAATTGAGTAAAACTGAAAGCAAATATAGCGCTTTCTAAAACTTACATATAGCAAATAAAGAGATGTTGTTTGCTATGTTAAATATTGTGATTTCAGCTTACAGAAAAGGAAACTATTAGATAAAGAGGGCAACTAAAAGAGCATGAAGAGATTTATCGTCTCTGGACACAGAAGACTAGTCTTCAAAGAGAAAAATGTCCAGTGGTCCTTTCAAAATAGTTTCCTTGTCTCTGGAACATTTCCCCTAATTTCCTCAGCTTCTGTTCAAGTGACTGCTCAGACTGTCCTCTCTGAGAGCTACACAGTGTGCGCATCAATGTTTCATGACCCCTGTCCCTTAATATGGGCCGCACAGAAGAAGATGAATAACCACACATTAGTTACTAGACTAACTTTCTCTTGGCATGCTACATTATTTAGGGACCAATCTATTAAAAGTAATCATCAACTTTAAACTCTTTAACCCTGCTCTTTTAGTCGTCACGTTTTCAGCTTTGCCAGCGTGCCTTGCTTGACCGGACGTGGCCGAATGCGGCATATACGGCTATGCCAGTGTAATTGTTTTGCTTTCTGCTGTCAGCCATTATCCTAATTCACACAAAAGGGCCCCTCCTTCCACTGGCTCCAGTGGAAAGTGGAGCCCTGAGGCCAACTGTACACTGAGGAGGCTGAGAGAGAGAAACAGTGTGTGTATGTGTGTGTATGTGTGTGTATGTGTGTGTATGTGTGTGTGTGTGTGTATGTGTGTGTGTGTGTGTGTGTGTGTGTGTGTGTGTGTGCATGTGATCCAGAGTGAGAAAGGC